ATAAAATAAAGGCAAAATCATGGCTGTGATACTAAAAGTCTTTGTTAAACGACTTCTTGTACAAAGTTGATATGAAACACACATTTTACTCATCAAAACAGTGAAAACATCAAATATGTTGTATAAATGAGTTTCCCACCACTGAACAAGCAACAAAACTGTAGCGCTGTAACAAAATCATTTCGTAAAATACACCAAAAAATACTCTTGGAGATATATCGATACAGCAGCCCACGATACCGATACTAACTCATCACATTAAACGATACGATATTTTGATATTTCTGCACACCCCTAATATCATTGCAGGGACAAAAAATATACTTTTTCCTTTCTTTTTTCCTAAAAACTAAAAATATTGTATGACAAAATGTGTTATGTAGCTGTTCTGAGAAATTCTAGGCCAAGTATGACCAGAAAAAAGTCTTATTACATCAATTTGTAGGCCCAACCATGATAAATTATGACTTTTAATGTTTCACAATATGCCATAAAGCATCATTTATGGATTTCATATATGGATTTATTCAATTAGAGATGTTCTTATTGAAAGAAAATACCTGGATAATATTCATTGTTATTATGAGTTGAGATGCGTCTTTGCAGACCTGACCTGCCTAGTGTAATTTACCTACTTATATCCATGGCAGTAGATGAGTTTAATGCCATACAGTGGAACATTCTAGGCAAAGCAACGATATCTACCTGGAGACGAACAAGTAGCAGAAAAAGAGAAAGTTTATTCATAATTTGATCATAATTTGAACGTTGATTAATCTCACAGCCTCTCTGATAATACCATTAAGTCCTTAAAACCGCCCTCATCTTTTTGTTCCTATACTGTAGACCTCTGGATGACTTTAAGTTTGAACCCACAACCTTCTAGCTTAAAGGCAGGAGCTTAACCATTCTACCATTTTAGAATACTACATAGCTTTACTTCATGTTTATCTTCCTGTTCCCATTTGGATTCAAAAGACTTAACAGGCAAACCTAGTGTCTCTCATAAGGCAGTATTATGCTACATTTCCCCATCCCTGTGCCGCCCATTCCCCATGTCCTCAGTGTTTGCGAATAGCACAGTCATTAGCAGCAGACAAGCATAACTGTGTGCTTACAGGAGGACCGCGGAGAGTGAGGGAGATTTAAGCAGCTCGCGTTTGTGTGTTGTTGTTGTTTGGGGACCGCTTTTGGTGCCGTACCGATCCTGCCTCTTGTTGCCATGGCGATTCTTTTATCTCCAAACCTGACTGTGCATTTGTGAATAATAATATGATGTCTGATTCATAGTGTAAAAACAGCAAAGGGAGGAAGGAATTATAAAATGGTATCACTGTCAATCTTTGTTGTTAGTATAGCTGGAAAAATTAGATTAATTCGACCCAGAGGTAAAGATGTTTGCATAATGGGGAATTTCATCACGTTATAGACCATGAATGAATAAAAACAATTTGCTCTCATTAGTAGGGCAGCACAATATATTGCAATCAAATCAAAATCACAATTTGAGTTGGCAATTATCAAATCAGAAAGGCTGCAATTACTTAGATAATAGAATGTCCTCTGCAAAGAACAAAATATCCTGTCTTTTTATGGAAATATCTTCTGAAATACCTGTAGTTTAGATGTACAAACATGATTTGAAATTCATGAAATTCTTGTTTTGGTTTATCGGTTCATTATTTCAGTCATCTCTGAAATATTAAAGTGAGACTAAACAGGCACATTTCAAGTAGAGCCTCAAGAAAAGAGTGAGGGCAGAGGACAAGTGGGGTCTGTACAAATGAGGAACAGTCTGATTGGTCTAAGAGATATCCACACACTTCAGACTTCAGAGTTTTGTGTGTTCTCATAAAGTAGCGGTCACTGGAAGCAGCACTCACAGTTTTTGAAACACAAAGCTGCAAATGTACACTGAAAATCTGTATCGAAATTACAAAAAAGGACTAAAAAGAGGAGACAATACTATTAAAAAAACACATACACCAAGTAGCCAATAAAAGTGGATTTAGTGTGTAGCTTCACTTTAATGATTCTGGGATGTTTTCATAATGTGCACTCTGAACAGAATTCTAAACATATATCGCAAATCTAATCACAGTTGCCATACTTAAACTGCAATTCCATGTATTTCCAAAATTGCGCTACTACTCCTATAGTTGAATTTGATTACTACTTCATAGCAACCATAGCAATACATGTTTATAACCCAATAAGAAATGTTACAGTGTTGTTCCCACGTCTTATGAAATGCAACATAATGAGTCTTGGGAGAGGGTGGGAGCCATTGTGGGCATGTTGGGAAAATTTGAGTTTCTGTTTTGCGACTCGGAGCCTAATTTGTTGTAACAGATGTGATGTGTTTGAGGCCGTCGTAATTGTTTGGCGTGCGAGGAGAGAGAGAGAGAGAGAGGCAGACAGCGGAGAAGACGGATCAGATAAATCAACATCTCCAGCTGCAGCGGGCTTAGGTAACGCGGCTGCAGCGCTAACAGGCTAAATATAGAGACGGCTGAGAGACTGGCTCGCTGCCCGCTAACCACTACTTCCACACACACACACTTGAACGTAGACTGGCCTTCGGTGTCTTGGTACTCAGATACAGGATAAACACTGCTTTTGAAATGGGAGCTGGTGAATGGGATGTCAATATGTAGTCCTACGAGAAATGTGCTGGGTTGCAACAGGGTAAATTGTGCAACATACAAACATAAAATGTATCTACTAGAAATTGTAAAAGTAAGAAACAGGTAAAAATGTTGTGATAAGTGTGATTAAACATAGTTGTACACTAAGATGCCGATCAGAAGGATGGTTAGTGAGCACTTGGGTCTTATCTGACCAGCAATTGAAGCTCTCTGAGGAAACCTGTGTGGGCACCATAGACTGTATATATAAATGGACATAGCTAATCCGCTTGCCCTCGCTTCCAAGTAGGAAGTGAGCACGGGGGCGCTTCTGGCTTCATCGACTGCTTCCAATTGACTAAACATTAAAAATGGTCACCCCTCCCTCTATCTTCTGCAGTGAGCCTCATCATTTTGGTCTTAAAATGTTCGTATTATTAACCCGCTGTCACCACTTTGTCCGTTAATAAATTTCCTGTTGTTAAAATTGGACTTTGCTCCAAATTCGCTCCTGTTAAGGTTTTGCATCTACGTCATAAAAGCATGTGACCTGTTGTTTGTGCCGCCATATTGGAGGTCAAACTATCAATCTGGACCAATGTGTAGTATTTGTGTGCGATAAAATAAGAAGGACGCGCTGTGCGGTTTTCACTTTCGGCGGCATGGAATTTCCCCGTCAATTTTCACCGCCCGGGGTAGCTACGGTTCTGATTTTGCCCCCCATTCTGCTTACCCTGGCTGTTATCAGGAACAGATGTGATGGTTTGGTGATCAACAAGGATCTAACGTGTCCCGCTACAAAGTATTTATAAGCCTCTAACCCCTTGTAAGTTTTTGGTTCTTGGCTGGTGTAGGATGATGTACAATGAATTAAATAGTTATAAATATTTGGATACTGGAGGTTGGGCACAGAGCGAGCAATGGAATTAGGGATCTGTTCCACAACCCAGGAGGATGACTTTAGCATTATATCTTTCTAATGATGGCTGATCTAATGAGCTGGCAATTTTGGATAGTTTTATGTTTTTTTTTTAAAGTCTTTAAAGTAGCCATGATTATATTATACTAACTGAACCTTGACCAACCTTGACCCCCAGTATGGCTGCCAAAACATTAAGTCTGCCACGTCACGCTCAAATCCTTAATAACTGCTAGCGTCGTGAGCTTCATTTGAGTGGAGCTGAACGCTATGGGTGACGTCACACTTACTCAGTCCTCTTCTTGGTGTCTATGGTGACCACGGGGAGAACATGCAGACTCCACACAGAAAGGCCAGTCCAATTTGCAGCCGGACCTTCTCGCTTTTAGCTGAGAATCACTCGGGCTGCAGCACAGCCATCGTCCTCACTGATGCAATACAGTAATGCTTCTGAAATCATTCGAGTGTTGAAGTTTTCAATTTTGGCACATTTTGACAAATTCGGACGGTGAAGGTATCTTTTACTTCTACTGAGACCAGCTGTTAGGAGCAGTGGGTAACCGCAATGTAGCACCAAGACAGCCCTCTCCACATTTGAGCCTGCTTGTCTGTCTGGAGTGCTAGCCTATTACCATCTGCTGAGTGTTTTTCACTGTTTACATTGTGAAATTATAGAACGCAACTCAAACAAATACTAATAATTTTGATAACGGTTCTGCTGTATCATTCCCCACAGTGCTCTTCTCTGTGTCCTCCACTGTCAGTTAAAATGCCGGCTCCACTCGTCCAGCTCCCTCCCCCTCCCCCCGTCCCTCCCTCCCCCTCCTGTCTTCACATTAGTCACATTTACTTGCCCTGCTCCTCGTGGGGCATCCCTGTCCTTGGCCTGGTGCTGGGGTTATCTTTCCGCCTGGACACCCCGGTATTTTTTGGCTTTCTCAGCTGTGACCTCCTCTGCTCGCATCACTGTCTCTTCCAGGCAGGTTTTGTTAGGCACAGCTCCAATGCAGGGCCAGGACTTTGGACATAAGGCTGTCTGGAGGGCAAAGCCAACATGGGAGGGGGTAGTCGGACATTTTCTGACATGTAAACGGACACAGAAACATGCACACAAACACTCATACAGATACACACACGCATCAGACATATGGACACAGAAACACACACACATGCTCATACAGATACACACACATACACGGACAGAGAAGTACACGCACGTAGTCATATCCAGTGGGGGCTGCCTGTCCTGCCACAACCATCCATCACACTCTTGCGCGGAGCTAAAGAGCGTTTTCCAGCCTTGACGTGATTGGCAGAACTGTCCTCATGAGAAAGTCGAGCTCAGGTTCTTGTCCCTCTATGACCCTCCATATGCTCTTTATACATTACAGTGTAACATGCTTATCCTTGGTCTGAGTCTGTGTGCATTAAAACTATCTGGTCTCTGTGTGCAGGTCGTCCAAGGCTCATCCAGGGCCCGTCGTTCACATAAGCGACAATCCTATGGATGAAGGAAAGGTACAATTTACGCATTTATACTAACATAAATTTGTCATATGTTTTTGTACTGCTACTACTGTCCTTATATTAGTGGCCAGTCAAAAATATATATAAAAAAGACATAAAAATTACTTGTGATCATACCATGTGACAATCTGCCAATGTGGAGAGATACATCAAAATTTGTCTTTTATTGTTGTTGTTGTTGTTTTTTTTGTCGTCCTTTTGGTAAGTTTTTAGTGAGTAACTTGCAGATTTAACCAATCACAGTGAACTCTCAGAAGGTGTAAGAGCTTTAAACATTTCTTAAAATCAATGTAAAGCTACTATTTGTAAAAGAATTGGAAAAACAAATGTAAATAAAAAAAAAACCAAAAAAACATTGTGATAGGATTTTCTTTGGTATATGACCTATTCCTAAGTGATGGCCAAACTTTTAAGTAAAGATTTTAAAATACTCTTGAGTTTTCTTTAGGGCTGGGGGATATGGGGAAAAACACTTTTGTGCAATCTTGATTTGATTTCTTTTCAAAAACAAAATAACAGTTGTTTTTAGTATTGATTTTGTGAATGTAAACAATATACGGTTTAGTCTGTGCCATTTAACTCAAAAATTGTCACATTTCTTCCCCAAAGTCTTTCAAATGAGTACTGACTGTACTTCAAAAACTCCAACCATTGGCAATTAGACATGACTGATTCACGATTTCTCCATCTTTCAGTTCACTAGTTTTCCGGTCAATCAAAAATATGTTATTACCAGAAAGCAGCAACTTTCTCCTCTTCACTCAAAAATAATCATCATACCATCCTGACAGAGCTGTTATTCCAACGTGTATTTCCCTTTACCATGTTCACTAAAGCAATAAAACATCATTCTTGTCCAAACAAACATTTTCTCACCCCCAAAATGTTCCTCTCTTTTGTGTTGGCATCTCTTGTGAACCGTTGTAGGCAGGTCACTTCCTGATCTGTGGCAGCCTGCTCGCACCTGCCTTTCCTTTCACGCTGGGGATGAATGTCAAACGTATTAGCATTTTGCAGCACATCATGGGGTCCATTCTATCTGCTCTGTGTCATCTCCCATCCACCCATCTCACTGAATGCCCGTCTCTCTCTCTCTCTCCGCAGCTCATAATTGGATTCGAGTCGGGGATTGTGGTCCTGTGGGATCTGAAATCAAAGAAGGCCGACTATCGCTACACGTATGACGAGGTAGGCAAATGTCCCAGGATTCCTTTCTTCTCGGCAGCCTTATTCTTCCTCTGATATTCTGAGGATTTTGTGGGCGTTCATTCTAGTTTTTTCAGGCTGGAGTTTTGGAGAATTTTGTTGGCTTTGAATCCAATCCAACACAACATCAATCAACATATTGCATAAAAATTTAAAGAATGAATATATATATAATTTGTATTAGTTTATGTAATTTTGTATCACTACTTGCCCAAATGAGTATCTAGTTTCAGTACAGTTTTAGTATCGATTAGTATCTGATTTTACATACTTTTGACAACTGACAAAAAGAAGTATAACTAGGGTGAAGTGTCTTGCTCAGTGACACCAAAGCAGTATGTACCATGTTGAGCTGTCCACGATTCTCTCCTCTTAAAGTAAAATAAGTGAAAAGTATAGATTTAGTTTACTGTCACTCCTAAAGTTGTATTTGTTAGTTTCTCCCAACCTACCTCTGGGCAAAGTCTCATTTTTGCTATTGCTGGCATCAAACTGCACTTAATGAATTGTTCTCAAAATTCCACAGAGCACAATATTAAAAGTCCAGTGCTCGGGTGAAAGTATAAATAGATCTCTCTGTGTCTGGGTAGCCTCACAGAATACAAACAGAGAATTAAATCGTTAGGGGAGCGGGCACGTTCTGCTGACTTACTGTGGCTGTACAGAGGGCAAATTCATTTAGTTAAAGGGCCAGATGTTTAAGGCAATGAGTCATGGTCCTTTATTGGCTTCCACAGTGGCAGTGTGTGTCCATAAATAAAACATGACAATGCAATAAAATAGAGACAGTTTCAGATAGGCTCACATACCCTTTGGGCTCTATGGCGTGTTGGGCATATAAAAGGGTATTTATATTATTCATGTTATCCACTAAAAGCATGCCCAGTCATTACAATTAAAAACTACTCTGATTTCATGTCATTGTTTTGTATTATAGAATTGGGACAAAATGAAATGGAATGAAAATCAAATGAAGTTATTGTCATTAGACTAAACCTAAGTGAACTAGGCAGCACTATGGTTCTCATCTGTGTGTAGTCTGCTATCAATGATCTAATTCATGCATGAATGAGTTATTATTATTAGTTATAATAATATATTGGTTACTAGTTATGGAAGACTAAACTGACTTTAGTGAATGATTGCGAGACTACATTGTTTTCTATGTGAGAATTCACCCTGCTTCATTGTTTGACGTGTCTTCTGTGTCATCTGGATATATTACACATTGGATATATTTATATTTTGGGGTGACTTTAGCTTAGTTGGTGTTTGTTCACTGATCTGAAGGTTAGCAGTTTGAACTCCTCTAGTAGAGCGTTCAGATCCACTGATGCATAAGTTGGCATTGCAATTCCAGCTCCCGCAGATGAATACTGTCATTGTGTTCTTGGGCAAGACACTTAACACTCTGGTCTGTCAAAAAGAAGCTTTATTTGGATTGTTTACAAATACCTAGTCATGTTTCGGATGACTTCTGCATCCTTCACATGATGTTACTTGGTGTGTTTTGTCACTCAATAGTAGAAGAATAGCGCCACCTGGAGACTGAATTCTCCAGGGCAGCATCCCAGGTTCTTGAAAGTGGATACGCCCCCTCGTCCCTGTTTACTGTCCTATTAGTCGGGGAGCCAAAGTCTGAAAAGCTCTAGAAAATGGGTTGAACCTGACATCGCCTGCCATACTTTTTATTTGTGTTTTTTTTGTTAACTGTGACCCTGAGGACCAATAATTGGAGGGTCTGCTATTCCGGAAATATCACGAAAAAAAATTGTGGCCATTTTAGTGTAGGTAACCTTCATTTTGTGATAGAAAATTTTGAAAAATGAAAAATTTCCTCAAATCCTCAGTGGATTGGGTAAGCTGTCTGCAAATACATCCCAGATGCAAAGAACACATGTGGTGACAACATTCAGTGAAAAAAATATTCATAAAACACATTTCTACATGATTTTGTCTCAATTTAATGCCAAAAAAATAAGGCATTTTTTCACTTTTTTCCAATATTTTCATCTTTACCTCATTGGCAATCAACTATTCCCCCAAGTTTTGACATCAGCCAATATGCCATTCTTTTCTTCAAACAGTTTTGTCATTCCACAGAAAAAAATATAAAAATCCAACCAAAATCAATGGATCTGTGATGATTTCTTTACCATCAACAGGCCCAGAACCTCAATAGAATGTTAGGCTACTTTCAACATTCCATAAGGCACACTGGATATTTAGCATGGTTTAGCATGGAAATTTTTCATTTTTCAAAATTTTTTATCACAAAATGAAGGTTACCTACACTGAAATGGCCACAATTTTTTTTCGCGATATTTCCGGAAGAGCAGACCCTCCAATTATTGGTCCTCAGGGTCACAGTTAACAAAAAAAAACACAAATAAAAAGTATGGCAGGTGATGTCAGGTTCAACGCATTTTTGAGACTTTGACTCCCAGACTATATGGGCTCATTTGTTTATGTGTAAACAGCACTGTCAAAAAGAACCTTTATTTTGATATAACATTGGAGGACTGAAATGAACCTCTTTGAAGTAAGATATTAACCTGTGTGAGTGCCTTGAAATATATAAATTATATATATAAATGTGACCATTCACACTCATTGCTTGCACAATTTTCCTTGACAAAACGTGCACAGGTATGTACAGTCGTAAAGAAATCAATTGTACCTGTTTACATGATGTTTCAATAATCAGGTCATGATCAGATTTTGGTGTGTAAACCTGCCACTGACACTCACCTACAATGCTATTTTGGGAAAGAATGAATGTTTCTTTTGGTTACATTTGGTTTTATTGTATTATTATGTATAGTGTATCATCGAGGAACAATCCCTTCTAATAATGAACAACAAAAGAAAAAAAAAATGTAATACTTACCTTGTTGTTTCTATTCCCTCTGTTTTTAACGTCATATTCCAGTAGCCATATTTTACTGGCCCCATCCCTGTACATGATTTATTCCAGTTTATATCTAGCCTGGGCTGCCCAACCCTCCTCTGACATTTATTGCTGTGTCTGTAATGCACAATCTATTTAGTCTTTCTCCCACAATACACACGTTTACTGGCAATGTCATGACCTGCTGTAGCCCATTCATAAAACTGGATTTGAATGGCTACACACACATACTTGCATACACATGAGTACAGTTTCTATGGTATTACACGCTGGCCTGTTGGAGATAATACTACTCCTCCAATGTTGACGCTCACCTCGTTGGTTTTGGCACAAGGCTGGGAGCTTGCAGATAACTACAGTCACTACAAAGACACAAAGGTGGATTTGGTATGTATGTAGTTTAAGACTCGCTTCACTCTACCCCCGCTACAAGATAAGCTAATATCCTTGCAGTGCAGCCCTAGTATTACAGAGTTGGATTGGATCACCCAAGGGAGCTCATCTTGTCTCTCCAAGCCCCGGCGGTCCCATCTCTCCTGGGGTGCGATTGTGTGGGCGAGTGATTGTAAGGAGGGTGGCTACAGAACCTCCATGTCGCTGCACACTGCATAAAAGAATGTACAATACAATGGAGTTTTTACCTGAGGGAGTTGTCCTCAGGCTACACGTACAAAGGGTTTATGATCAGATTAACACTAATTCTACCTCGAGGAGCAGACTTGAGGTGGAATAGGTCACGTCCATGTGTTGAACTTTACAGCTTTACTCGTCCAGTATTTTCCATGCATTTTAGTCTTTATGCAACATTACATGGCCGATAAATTCATGTTGTAATACCAAACATAAAACTCTATTCCACTCGGCCGCAGCCCACTCTGCACCATTCACCCTGCAGGTTTTTTTTCCACACTGCCAGGATCAGTCTCACTCACATCACCAGCCCAGTACTTGGCACTGGAAAGCAGGCCTGTTTAGATATAACTCTTAGCCCTTATCCATGAGAAGACACAGCCTAGTAACCGGGGTAGTTGACGTGTCAAGCAGCCCTGCCTCTATTCTAACACTTTTGTCCATATCAGAGATCAAATTGCATTCCCATGGATAAAGCATGTATCAAAGTACTCAAGGTGTTTCAACATCTCTAATATATTTCTGTCAATACTCATTTTCTGGAGCCTTGATGGGCTTAAGTGATACCTATTGAGAAATGTGTATTGAATAGATCTACCTCCTCCCATTACAGTAAGAACTGACTCCCATGCGTCATCATCAAATGTACAACTGAGCTCCCTCTCCCTCTGTTAATAGGTTCAGGGAGGAAACACACTCTCACACTGTAGAACATGCAACCCTAGCTCAAAAGAACTCTTGCGATTCTGGGAATCAAACCCGGGACCTTCTTGATTTGAAAACTGCTGTAGCCTTCAGCCATTGTGCGTTCATTTGCAACAGTCCAGTCAAAGACATTATCCGTGGCATTTACACAACAGTATACATTTGACATACTGTTGAGAAGGGGAACTTGATAGCTGTGAAAAATCTTTGTGAACTATATGTGTCCCACCGCGCGCTTTTATTCAGCTGTGTTTGCCACAAGCTCGCTGTAGAAAATCAAAAGAAAGCGAACAAGACCGACTTTATAACAAGCTTCCCAGTATTACAGCATTAGATTCAAACAGGGATAAATGTATATTTTGGGATCATTTGTAACTCAGATTTGAGGGACTGAACAATATCTTTCACATGCTATTTTCTACAGTATTTTACAGTAATTTTTAACAGTTATTTCTGAGTGAATTTGCAGGTTTTGACAAGGAAAATAATATAAAAGAGCCAACAAGACAAAAATAAAAGGGAACATGTTAAAGCCATGAAAGTTATTTTAAAATTAATTGTACTTTGTCTTCCAAATACAACAGTTGCTCTAAAAATTCATTATTTAACTATTTTTACTGGTCATATGAATATACCCACTGTCAACATCCCTGCCCCAAATAAGAAATCACTGTGACTTTTATGACTGCTGTTGTCCGTTATTGACCACTCCAGCGCCAGCAAAATGAAACAGTTT